GGGTCGAGTCACTGTCAGAGGACATGGATCGACATGTGACTCTGTGAATATTTGTTCGACGAACCACTAGATGTAATGGACACAGCTCAGCTTGTTGTTTTTGTCAGAATGGCTTTCCAGGATTTTACAACTAAGGAGGACTTTCTCACTCTTTTGCACTTAAAGGAGCGAACGAGAGGTGGGGATATTTACAATGAGTTAAAAAAATGTCAGTGAAAATTATATTCCCATTCATAAACGGATAGCAATTACTATAGATGGAGCACCAGCATTGCATGGTGAGTGCCGACAATGATGTAATGACCCTGATTTTCCTGACTTCATGAATTATCATTGTGTGATTCATCAGCAGGCCTTGGCTGGAAAAGTCGTGGACTTTCCTCACATAATCTGATAAACTTGATACAAGCAAAAACACTTTAGCATCGCTTATTCAAGGTAATACTGGATGAGCTTGATACCGCGTATGAAGATCTACTACTTCGTGCTGATGGTTGAGTTGTGGGAAAGTGCTACAATGCTTTATTGACTTGTTGAGATAAACTGTTCTGTCTGCAAGGAACAAGGAGCACAAGGAACTGCCAGATGATGTGTGGCTGCTGGACCTGGGTTTTCTGTCAGACTTGACCACAAACTGATTACACTCAAGGATGAGCTCCAGGGAAAAGACTGACACCTGACCCACATGATAAGCACAGTGAATGCATTTAAGTCTAAGCTTGGTTTTTTGATCACACATATAAAGGACGGGAGGCTAAAACTTTCCCAACCTGGAAAAAATGTCACTGATCTGTAGCGAATCAGCTCATGGGAAATATGAATAATTAACCATAACATTGAAAACAAGGGTGTTTTTCACTCTGAGAATGACTCTGCTCACCTGGACAAAGTGGCAATAGAGTTCAATCTGTGTTTTGGGGAGTTCGACGTCATGGAATGTATTGCTGCATTTGTCTCAAACCCATTAATGACCAGGTCGTGGTCAAATTCCAGCAAGTATTTGCTTTGTCAAGTGGAGTTGACATGGTGATACAGTAGTTAATTTGAAAAATCACTGAGCTGAAGGGACTTTTGGGGACCTGTCAACAGAGACAATTTAACTTTCCTCACTGCATGAGCACTGGAAGTGAGTGTCTACCTTTGATCCATTTACCTTCAGCAAAATAGCATTTTCACAGACGAAAATAATTAAATCAAATTAGAGGAGCCGCCTTACTGACAGACACCTCGCAGACTGCCTCAGACTCTAGCTATGAGCCAAACTACACGGACAGTATTCAGTCATAGCCATCAGACTGACTTAAGTGAGTAACATCACTGCAGCAGTTTTGTCTTCTGATGGCATTGTGAAAAGTGATGCTGCATAGAACTGCACTTAGCTTAGTTGAGAATGTTGTTAGGATTTTGTTATTACAATGCATTTATAAAATGCTGATGGCAGTACCTTCAGAAGCTTCAGTGAACAAGCATTTTACTATTAACAATAGCACTTTTACCAGTTGACAATGGCACTTTGTATGATCTGCTCACTGCAAGTGTTACAGTGTTGTTACATTGTTTCAATAGGTAGATCTTGCCTTTCATCAAGGCTGAGGTCACTGTGGGGGCCACTGATTTAGACTGTGTCAAACACATAACACAGGCTGTTTCATTGTAAATTAGGTGTTAGTTTGATTTTTGCTTGCTTGTAATTTTGCATAAATGTTTTATCTAGAACAGCTTGCATTACAATACTTTTATGTACAGTCCTCCCGGGAGACAAATGTTGCAAAGTGGTTTCTCAAGGGCATGGCCATGACAAGTATCAGTATCCTATATGTCACTTCTACCTGGGATCAAATTGTAACATTTATTTTGGCAGACTGTAACCTTAACCCTTTTTAGTTTGATTTCATACATCATTTTGCATTTATGAACAAATTGCCCACCGCCTGCATCACTAATGGTTTCCCACCTCATATTTTAATCAGTGTAATGCCCAGTCAAAACTCTCCAACTGCATTGCACTATGGGATACCTGACGTGTTCATGTTCCCTAATCCATGTCTGCAGGTTCGAGCAGGAAGATTAACGCAGCGGCCCCGTTGTGCAGCACACACCCCGTGCCGTTGTCTTGGCAGCTGCGTTATCTTGGATGCTGTTTACCCCGAGGGAGCGATGAAGAGGATTATTTTGCTTTTTTCTCACTCCCAAATCCTCTCAACAAAGGGATTTCTTCTGTAATACATCCACCAAGCAGCAGAGGGAAAAGGCCCCTACTGAGTTCCTTTAGCAACACTGCTTTGTGTGCATCAGTCGTGATAGGCCACATAATAATACAGCTAAGATAAACAAATCCATGTGGGGATGTTTGTCAAGTGACGAGCTACATTAGCACAAGAAGCCTGAATTATTTAATCCTTGTCGCATTTATAACATCATAGCATCGAAAAACATTTAGGTTGCAAATGTTTTGTTTGTATCTCTCCCTATTAAAGGCACAATATGTAAGATTTTTTTTATTAAAATATCCAAAAACCACTAGAACAGTGTTATGTATTTTGCTGACTTGTGTACTTACATTATCGCAAATGTTTCGAAGAATGTTTAAATCCAGAGAAATTAGCAATTTTAACTAGTGACACGGACCGTGTCCATAGTGTCATTGTGTCGCCTGCCAATGACGTCATAACCCTTGATTTCTGGTTTTGTTTTGTAGAAAACATGGATACACCAAAGACGCTTTAATATGTTGTGCGTATTAATAGACCGGTAACGACCGCACAGAGTAGCATTATAACAGAACTTTCAAATGTATCTAATATGATAAAACAGCGCTGCTATAAAAAAATAAAAGCTCCTCTGCTTTCGAGCCGTGTGTCACGCTCGTTCAGCGGCCTCGTTTCACTTCAACGGCTTTCAGCCTCACCCTGCTTCATTCTACTACGTCAACAAATCATTAGGCCCCACAAATCATCATCCATGAACATGATTTCTGCCCGAGTCCCGTCGGATTGCTTCGGCTGTGGGGATGAAGATGACAACTCCCATGATTCCACACTCAGTCACGGCGTCATCAAACTATGCCTTTGTTTCTTTGTTTATTTTAAATACGCGCCCTCTAGCAGCGAAAATTACATATTGTGCCTTTAAAGTTCAGTCTCTGATTCTGTCCTTTAAACAGTCATAGAAAATGTTCTCTGGGGTATGTGCCAATAAATAGGCCTTGGCATTCATGATGAAAAGTATATTTAATGAAGAGATTTTAAAAAGCAATTACATGTGGCAGCCTACTGAGCTTCGAGTCAGTTAATTGGGGGAGCTTGAGCCTGATCTATAATTTTATAACCAATAAATAGTCAAAGCAATAGATAACTGAAAATGTCAAGATACTAGAAAGCATAACGTTTCTACCCTGTAATCATGGTAATTATGAACTCCCCTCTGTAGTCTTGAGAAGAGGATGCAGTGAAGGAAAATGCAGTGTTTCTGATTCCAAAATGAAGTACTTTTAAGCACCCAGGTCCCTAAGGAAATTACAAAATATTCAGATATCTAAATACTGTCAGCAGTTTTGAGGCACCTACAAATAGTTTAAATGGCTTTTTTGGGTATGTCCATATCCAAAATCTATAGAAGAAGAAAAAAAAAGAAGAAGAAAAAGTAACCTGACAAACAGAGATGTAATGTAATAATATAATATAATATAATATCATATAATATAATATATTTTAAAAATACAGGGAATAATTTTGATCAAATAACTAAATTAAATCAACTTCCTCAGACACCGTTTTAAAGGTAGTTTGCAGGTAAGTTGTTCCAAGCATTTTGTTGAAGTTGCAATTTTATGAAGCAATTAAAATTATAGTTAAGTTAGTTGCAAATAAGTTTGCTTTTTTGAACAGCAAAGGTGCTTTTTGCACATTATATAATAGACTATAGATTCAATATATATATAAAAGAAGAGAACATACAAAAGATTAAGAAATAAAAAAAATATTATATTTGGTTCTTTGCAGAGCTGATGATGTTGTTTTGGATAGTCTGCATTATATATAGTCTATACAGATTTCTATTGTAGACTATAATACATTCAGTAAATGAATCAAATTAGAAAAACATGGTTTGAATTACCATAGCTTCTTTTGTGTATATGATGTTCCATCTAATCATAAGATTCTAAATAAAATTCACAGAAGCATCATCAGCTTCAAAATCTCTGGAGCTGGTATCAACAACATGAGCAGATTTCAGCGGAAAAGACTCAATGGAATAAACCGTGCCGAGGGGAGAGATGATGTAAGTGCTTATGTAATCTGCATCTGCGAGATGCACATCACAGCGCCCCCTGGAGGCCACCGCTGCCTCTCAAAGAAGTCACATTATGGACTGGATGGATAGAGTGCGACCAGAACTAGAGATCCATAATTCAGCCACTGCTCCAACGTATCTCCTTAAGTTTGATAAAGCATTTTTGTCTCTGTATAATTCTTTAGATAATATTATTAGTCTTTTTCAGATTTTCTGATACTAGTCACTTAACAATGACAGCCTAAACTACACCTCTACGTTGAAATGAACTCAGCCACAGCCAGCAGCTCTGCAGGACGTTCAGATGTATACCGATGTCAAACTGGATGCCAATATAATGTTATGGACGTCTGTGGTCCTCTGTGTTTTAAATATCTGAAATAGTTCAATTTCAGTTGTTGGCATGAAAAAATACTGTACATTTGAATATCAAAAGCGCCTGTAGCTTAGTTTGGTGCAATATAGGTAATACTGAGTTTATGAAAAAAATCTGCAAATAATTAAATCACTATTTCATTGATTGTGGTTTCTCAAGCACATGGTCCAATCGCTGCAGCTGGAAGGCGAGGTTTACAGTAGGGCCGTGGCACATGGTCCAATCAGGAGAGAGAGGGGTGTGGCTGTCTTTCGCTCAGTCTTTCAGCACCTTGGACAGCAGCTCGCACTCGACTGCGGGAGAGATTCTGGTTGCGGGTCGAGGGTGCTCGCCTCTTCTTCTCCCAAATTACTCAGAAGAAATAAACAGTGAAGGGGATTTCACAGAAAAATTTTCAGGTCGTGAAATTTCATGTCCTTTCGAGGCAGTTTCTGATCCATTTCCAACGTTGGCACTTTGCTATACGCTGCTTCTCTGCGGCGTGTCTCCTCTGCGTCTGGGATCCCAAACAACAAGCGTTCAACGTGAGTTTTGCCGTGTACAGCGATTGAATCTCGAAAAAATACGGCAAGTAACATTCATTTTACCAAAGTCAGTTTGTACTTTATTATGTTTCTGACATGCCTCCTGAGAATGTTTACTAGTTGGATGCGATACCGTCCTGCGTAAGTGCCATGAAGTTTCTTGGTTCTTCTCCAGCCTGGTTCAGGCTTTAATGCGCACTGAACCTCAACTCGCCTTTCTCCCCATATCCATCATCTTGTTTTTGTGATCATCAGCCTTATTTTGGAAGATGAGGTTCTTCTGCGACTTTTTGTGCACATAAAATTCTGAAAGGAAGAAGAAACGAAGAGTCTGAATTCGTGCTCTGAAGCCGCATCACCTCCTATGCCGTTTTAACCGTCTCGACGGCACGTTTTGAGATTGTTCAAGAGAAACGTTGAAGTATAAACACAAGGATAAAGATGAAGAAGTTCCGGAAGGTTTTGGACGGGTTGACCACTTCTTCACCTGTCAATCCAGGTGGATCTCCCGTGTGCGGCAGTGCGGCTGGGACCCCCAGTACGGCTCCGACACCGCGGGAGCTGGAAATCCAGGAGACACTGATGTCTGAGCACTTCCAAATCTGTAAGGTGGGTGCCCCTTTCTAGCTTGTCGCAAAGGGCTCGTCTGCCATTGCAGCAGAGATGTGCAGCTAGTTTTGGCCAAGAGGCCTGTGCTAATCAATGCAGCTGTTGGGGGAACTGTTGTTGATAGAGCCACAATATAAATTGCAGTGCACCAGCAGCAGACACAATACACACAGACACATACTGTAGTGCAAAGACATTGTGGACCACAAATACGGTCCCCTTCAAATCGTTAAGAGATAGTTAACCAAAGAATTGTAAATTCTGTCACATTCACCCTCATGTCATTCCAAACAACTCCAAACATAGGAGCTACTTTCTTTCTTCTGCAGAACATAAAAGAAGATATTTTGAAGAATTTTGGTAACCAAGCAGTTTAGTGACCATTGATTTCCATTGTATGGACGGAAACACTGAGACGTTTCTTAAAATATCATTTTATGTTCCACAGAAGAAAGAAAGGCATACAGTTTTGGAATTATATGAGGGTGAGTAAATGGTTACAGAATTTTCTTTTTTTGTGTCAACTATCCTTTAAAGTTCCCAGAAGTTAACAGTTGTTAGATAGATAGATAGATAGATAGATAGAGCAAACCATCAGTGGTGAGATACTGGATGCTCTCAGTCCCCCCAAAAAAGAGCCGGAACATTTGGACTGCATTTACATTTTTACCGTAGTTTTGACTCTCTCTTTTAGGGGCTCAACCACAGACAAGTTTCTCAGTCCAGTGTTTAATTGTCAGTATGACCATATTGAAGTGTTAAATGGACAATTCACACAAAAATTTAAATCCTTCTGTTTCTCAGTCCCATTCCCTAAGCCTTTCATATTAGTATCACCATAATGAAATGTTAAATTGATAGTTCACATAGTTCACAAAATAAGAATTCTGTCATTATATGTACTCACCCTCATGTTGATTCAAACCTGTATGTTTTTTCTTCAGTAGAACACAAAAAGGAGTTGTTAGAGACTGACAGCTTCCATACACTTTCACAATCTATCTATCTATCGTTATATCTATCATTCTAACTTTCTATCTAGTTCTACAGTATTTACTCAATGCATTGGGAGTGAGATGCTCAGGATTAGGCATTCTTGGGACACAATCCTTTCCTCATTGGAGAAGTCAAGTGATAGGGAATCGATGACGTAACCGAGGTGTTTAGCTTATATAAAAAGTGAGAGTCAGCCTTAGTCTCCGGGCTTGTGTGCTTTTTCCTGAAACTATTTTTAGAGATTTTTAGGGCCTACTGCAGCCGGTCGGGGTAGTGGAAGCTGACTGCAGCGCTTCTACCTCCACTTGAATCGGTTCGGTTCGAGTTTGAAATTAGAGCGATCGAGGACGGACATGTGTTGTTCTCCAACATAGCAAATTAGACAGCGGAAAAACGGTAAGAAAGAACGAACAAGAGCATTGCCGTTTGAATGGAAGTGCAGGAATGTATGACGTGCAGATTATGAAGTTGTTTGTGAATATTCCCAAACTGTAGGCTAGATTAGTTTGTTTCCTCATCCGAACAGATATGGAGAAATGTTGCATTACATCACCAATAAATCCTCTGCAGTGAATGGGGGCTTTCAGAATGCTGTCCAAACAATAATAAAAACATCACAATAATCCACACAACTCCAGTCCATTAATTAACAACAATTAAAATCTGTGAGTTTTTATAAAAGTAATCTTTCATTAAGAAGTTTTTCACTTCAAACCATTGCTTCTGGCTAAAATGTGATTATATCGTCTAAATCAGGAGAGAAATATGCACATTTGAAGCACCATTTATAAGCAAAAACTTTTCTAAACAAGTATGTTAATACATTTTCATGTGAATGGACAACAGGGGGTTGACTTTTTCACTGGAGGAAGCATTATTATGGATCATGGACTCATATTTTGGCTAGCAACAGTTTAAAGTTAAAATGCTTTAATGACAGATTTTTGTTTCTTACAAACACCGATTTTCACTTCACAAGACTTTAGTTGATGGACTGGATCATGTGGATTAGTACTTGTGGATTATTGATGTTTTTATCAGCTCTTTGGACCGCATTCTGATTGCACCCACTCACTCCATTGAACAAGTGACAAATGCAAAATGTCTCTAAATCTGTTCCAATGAAGAAACAAACTCATTCGCACTACATTTTTAGCACATTTTCATTATTGGTGGAACTATTCCTGTAAGAAATTTATATTTTTTCAATTAAATATAGTTAGTCAAAGCTCAGTGGCAGCTTGATAGTTAGGCTACACTGTATAAACAATTCTGTAATTTTTACAAAATAATTTTGGCGGCTGTGGTTGCCAGAACAATTTTGTAAAAAATATAGAAAAATCAAAGTTCATCACAAGTAGCTTTTCCATAAACTTAAGTATATACAAATATACAGAAGGTGCACAGAGTCATTCAAGCAAACACAAAACACCGTCATGGTAACACACAACACTTAAATACTGCAATAAACATTCATTGAACAACAGAAGATGTAACAAAACCCTCTAACTGATAACAACAACTATTAAAGAATGTGATCATTTAAACAAAATACTTTCAAATGTGGAGTGTAATGAAGGGAATTCTGGGAATATCAGTTTACAGTTTTTGACTATAAATGAAAACTGAACAATTAACAGTATTTTACTGTAAAATTACATGAAATGTCTGGTTAGATCTTTTACAGTTTTATCATGTATATACAGGAACTTACTGTTAACTTATTAACAGTTTTTTCTGTAGTGTTTTTGCAATATTTTGTAGTTACACTCATTTTTTTACAGTGAAAACTATGTTGTGATTTTGAGTGTTTTGCTGCTATATGAATGTTGAGAGGTAGGTCAGATATTCAGAACACCGAGACAAACAGTTTGAAGCATAAAAATGAAATGAGGCTCCAAATGTGATTCCTCATGAAACAATTCCTTTAAATTTCCATTCTTTCCTTTTAAAAACATTTTATGAGGAACTGAATTCAGACTTGTTTGCTCACTAAGGTGGGTTAACACATGCTAGTTTGAAAGGAACCCTGTGGCTCATGAATATGAGATTGTAATGCTATATTTATACTTGTCTGAAGAGGGATTGTCTGAGAACCACACTAAGAATCGAGCAATGTCTGAAATGTCTCTTTTCATATAGTACACACACTGAACAAAAGTAAAATTCAAATTTTCATTATATGACCCCTTTAATGAAAATGAAACCTGATATATACAAGCAAACCATAAGCAATGGTGAATTGTATGAGTTATTCTAGAGATAGTATAAGTATAAAGAATCCACCTCATGGTCTGTCGAGGGATGCGTTCTTTGGGATGTTGACAGAGACGGTGCTCTGGAGACGTACATCTGAAATAGACTGCCGAACACCCTCTCATGTGCTCAAGAACACTCTGTGACACCCATTTCTGGTTATGATCACTCAACTGAATCATGAGCTTTGACAACAGCTCCCGTCATGGGCTGCCATGTTTCACGTGTGGTAGATTTAGATCTCTCTCTCCCTCTCACTTCTGTATATTCCTGGATGGATCTGGCATGCACACAGAAATAATAGGGTCAAAAGCATAGAGCAAAAATAGAAAAAAAACATTTAAAGGTGTATGTAACATCATAATGGAAGATATAAACAGCAGGGTGCTTGTTTTTAAAGCCGATCAGGAAGTCTTTGCCCTTGCAAATGGCAAAAAACAAGGTAGATAGTGTGGTTTGATTCTGTTAGTGCTCTGTCAACAATGTTGGCTTCCTCTCCAGTGCTCTGGGACCGCAGTGGCGGCACAGCCTGTGCTCTAGAGCAGCCCGCTCTGTCTGCATGTATCCTCATCTCTCAACAGGAAAGCTGTGCTCACTCGACCAAAGGGAAACAAGTATGAATTGTATTGCACAGTGTCTATTGCTGATAGATTTTTCATCATCGACACTGTTTATAGATTCAACAGAGTAGGGCCAGATAGAAATGATGAGACTGATAGTAGCAAAGAGCTAAAAATAAGGTATAGCCATTATGAGTGAGCTTAGGTCTCTTTTTTTCCCTCAGTAAAAAAAAAACAGCGATGCCATAGAAGAACCATTTTTGGTTCCACAAAGAACCATTCAGTCAAAGGTTCTTTAAAGAAACATCTCTTTCTTACCTTTTTATAATCTGAAGAACCTTCTTTTGCCACAAATAACCTTTTGTGAAACAGGAAGGTTCTTCAGATGTTAAAGGTTCTTTATGGAACCATTTAGACAAAAAGGTTCTTCTATGGCATCGTGAAGCACCTTTATTTTTAAGAGTGTAGTAGGACATAGTTAATGTGACATCTGTGTTTCAGCCATAATTGTATGAACAATTATATTTAATTCATATTACGAGAATACTTTTTGTGTGCAAAGAAAACAAAAATAATGGCCTAATTTGACAATCTCTTCTCTCCCGTGTCAGTCTTTGACGCGCATCCACAAGCGTATCACGGCGCATACGTGTTCTTAAATTGTAATAATGTTTCACTATATCACCGTTTGTACTCTTGATCAAATAAAAGCAGCCTTGGTAAAAATTAGAGACTTCTTTCCTTATATCTTTAAGATCCTCACAGTAGATTTTCCCATCAGAGGGTCTGAGCATCCAGAACGGTCTTCTCGCTCTCTCTGTTTGAGAGGAATCACATCTAAAGAGTGACATGTAGCTAGTGACTTATATAGAGTTTCCTGTCAGTGCTGTTTGAACCATTTTTTCTCTCTCGCTCTCCTTCACTTTTTCTATTTATCTCCTTATTTTTACATCTGCTCAATTGATTGATTTCATATGGTGTCATTTGTTTGAACCTGATTATTATTTCTTTCCATCATTCAAACTGTGTGTTGTTTCTCCAGTGGCTGAGCAGGGCTAAGGTAGTTAATACTCCAAACAGCTCTGTGCTTGTAACCACCCATAAATGAATAGCCCTATTCAGTCAATCTATATCCTTGAATCCTTTTTCCACTCCACTTCTCTGATCCCCCTTCATTTTCTCTTGTTG